CACAGATTGATGAATTAAAATATAATCTTTATATATAGTTGAAATCATGAGTCCATTGAAGCTAGACCACCAAAGTAAACCTGGAATCCCTGGATGGCCGTTTCGTTCTATTATGGGACTTCTCAGCGGTGCGCATACACGATCCCGCCTCACGAGATCAGAACCCAGAACCTACCAGTCTCGCGCGCGAGGACTTAACCAATAGAATACTGAGCGGGCATCCGATGGTGTTAATGTCTAACTTCAACCAATCCACGAAGTTGAGCAATCATTTCATCAATGTCTTCAGTGAGTTCATATCTCCCAACAGACCTGGTTGAACTCCACTGGTTACTGCTTCTCACTAGAACTCCAGGAAATACCTCATGAAGCCGGTCATTTAGAATTTATGCTGAGACTATAATTTATGGACGATCATTGAGCGATACTAAATTGACCCTTAGAATGTTCACCAACTAATTAAGACTATATGATGATTATAAACCAATGTGAGAAATCAGAATTATGATTAACAGTTGATGGTTAAGGTTAGAAATCAAATTTAGGGTTTTCATCACGAGCTGATATCATCTAAAATGCCAAAAAGCTATTTAGCCAAATGGATGAATAAATTTTGAGGCTAAAATCCAAGAACTGTTATCCTAAACCTGATTGATTCGTCTATAAATTATAATCTCGCCGAATTTTTATATTCTACGTTAATTTTATGGAATCTGTAATAAGAAGAGCCAACAAATGAAACCATTAGTGTTACCATGAAAATAAAACTTATGAAATCACAAATGATTTAAAGTTTATAGCGATAATAAAGAATGAAATAATTTATACTAACTCAACTGTTCGGAGATATTGATTATAGAATGTTTTATCAATGACTGTTAAAGTAACAATGAACAAATGAAATTCACAGTTTGTGATCATATCTATTATAGTTATACTTTTGTTTCGCCATCTTCAAACATCTATTGTTATTCAGATGTACTAAAATAGGATTTGAATATCGCTTAGACGAAATATTGGAAGAAAATTAAATTATCAGATAGTGAAAACGTAGTGATAATTAAAATTCTTAGTATGTGAAATATAAATTTACTCTGAAACTTCTTCAGTTATAAAAAACATCGTTGGATGCCGGTTCAGTGGTCTAGAGGTTAAGTGCTCGCGCGCGAAACTGACAGGTCTTGGGTTCGAATCTCACGAGGCAGGATAGTGGATGCGCACTGCTGAGGAGTCCCACAATATTTTTAAACGATTGTCTACATTAGATACTCAATGTTTGTTGACTGGATATCATCAGCAACAGCCTAATGTTACTTACTTACTTACGCCTGTTACCCCTCGTCGAGGAGCATAGGCCGCTCACCAGCATTCTCCATCCAACTCTGTCCTGAGCCTTCCTTTCCAGTTCTTTCCAGTTACTATTCAGCCTTTTCATATCGGCTTCTATTTCCCGGCGTAGTGTGTTCTTTGGCCTTCCTCTTTTCCGCTTTCCTTCCGGATTCCAAGTTAGGGATTGAGTCGTGATGCACATTGGTGATTTCCTTAATGTATGTCCGATCCACTTCCAAAGTCTTTTCCTAATTTCCTCTTCAGCTGGAAGCTGGTTTGTCCTCTCCCATAGAACGCTGTTGCTGATAGTATCCGGCCAGTGGATGTTGAGTATTTTGCGTAGACGACTGTTTATAAATACTTGTACCTTCCTGATGATGGCCGTAGTAGTTCTCCACGTTTCAGCTCCATACAGTAGGACTGTCTTGACGTTCGTATTAAAGATTCTGACCTTGAAATTGGTTGAAAGTTGTTTTGAGTTCCATATGTTCTTCAATTGTAGAAATGCTGCCCTTGCTTTGTCAATCCTCGCCTTTACATCTGCATCCGATCCTCCTTGTTTATCAACGATGCTCCCCAGGTACTTGAATGTTTCCACCTCTTCCAGAGTTTCGCCGTCAAGTGTGATTGGGTTGGTGTTCTCCGTGTTGCATTTGAGAATCTTGCTTTTTCCTTTGTGAATGTGGAGACCTATCGATGCGGAGGCTGCTGCTACATTTGCTGTCTTCATCTGCATTTGGTCGTGTGTATGAGAGATGAGGGCTAGGTCATCTGCGAAGTCTAAATCATCTAATTGATTCTGAGAAGTCCATTGTATTCCGTATTTCCCTTCAGATGTCGAATTCTTCATAATCCAGTCAATCACTAGAAGGAAGAGGAATGGGGAGAGTAGACAACCTTGTCTGACTCCGGTCCTTACTGGAAATGCATCTGTCAGCTGTCCTCCATGCACCACTTTGCACTGTAGTCCATCGTATGAGTTTTGGATAATGTTGACGATCTTCTGAGGAACTCCATAGTGTCGAAGAAGTTTCCACAATGTTCTCCTATCCACGCTGTCAAACGCCTTCTCATAGTCAATGAAGTTGACGTATAGTGATGAGTTCCACTCAACTGATTGTTCAACGATGATCCGTAGTGTCGCAATCTGGTCTGTGCACGACCGATCCTTACGGAATCCAGCCTGATGATCCCTAAGTTCGGCGTCTACTGCGTCTTTCATCCGATTCAGCAGCACTCTGTTGAAAACTTTTCCTGGTACTGATAACAAACTGATACCTCTGTAGTTCTCACATTGGCTCAGATCTCCTTTCTTTGGTATCTTGATGAGATATCCTTCTTTCCAGTCCGTTGGCACTTGTTCCTCTTCCTAAATCTTTTTGAATAGAAGGTGAAGCATGTTTGCAGTTATTTCAATGTCTGACTTCAGTGCTTCTGCTGGTATATTGTCAGGTCCTGCCGCCTTCCCACTTTTGATTTGTCTGATGGCCATCTTGACTTCTTCGATCGTTGGTGGAGTGACATCTATTGGAAGGTCTGTGTGGGCTGCTTCGATGTTCGGTGGATTCAATGGGGCTGGTCTATTCAGCAGTTCCTCAAAGTATTCTGCCCATCTTTTCCTCTGTTCCTGAATCTCAGTGATTGTCTTTCCTTCTTTGTCTTTGACTGGTCTCTCTGGTTTGCTATATCTCCCTGCCAATTTCTTCGTTGTATCATATAGTTGTTTCATATTCCCTTCCCTTGCAGCTTTTTCCGCCGCCGTTGCTAGTTCTCCCATGTATTTCTGCTTGTCGGCTTTAATGCTTTTCTTCACTTCTCTGTTTGCTTCTGCGTAGTCTGCTTGTGCTTTGACTTTCTCTGCTCGTGTTCGGCTGTTGTTAATTGCTAGTTTCTTGTTCTTCCTTTCTTGAAGTTTGTCCAGGGTTCCCATAGAGATCCATTCCTTGTGATGGTGCTTCTTAGGACCAAGAACCTCCTGACACGTTGAAGCTAGTGCTTCTTTTATCCCTTTCCAGTTGTCCTCCAATGTAGTTTCTTGTTCTTTCAGTAGATCCTGTAGAGCTTGGAACCTATTGTTGAGAGTTATCTTGAATTCATGGAGTTTGTCAGCATCTCGAAGGAAGGCTGTATTAAACCTTTGTAGTGCTGTTTGTCCAGTTGTCCAGTCTTTCTTTAGCTTCAGTCTCATCTTGGCCACAACCAGGTGGTGATCTGAAGCTATGTCAGCTCCTCTCCGGGTTCTCACATCTTCCATTGATCTTCGGAATTTTTTGTTGATACAGATGTGATCAATCTGGTTCTCTGTGGTGTGGTCCGGTGAGATCCATGTAGCTGTGTGTATGCGTTTGTGTGGGAATATTGTGCCGCCTATAACCAATTTGTTGAAAGCACATAGGTTTGCAAGTCTCTCCCCATTTTCATTTCTCTCTCCTAGTCCATGTCGTCCAATTACATCTTCATATCCTGTGTTGTCCACTCCAACTTTAGCATTTAGATCTCCCATAAGGATGGTGAGGTCCTTTCGTGAGCACTTCTCCATAATTGATTGCAGCCTTTCATAGAACTGATCTTTATCATCGTCGTTGCTATCATTGGTGGGTGCATAACATTGGATAACATTCATTGTGATCCCTTGCTTCTTTGTTCTGAATGATGCTTTGATTATCCTGGGTCCATGAGATTCCCATCCCACAAGTGCATTTCGTGCTTCTTTGGACAGCATTAGAGCAACTCCCTGAGTGTGTGGAGCATTTTCCCCTTCGTGACCGGAGTACAGCAGCATCTCTCCTGTACCTAGCCTTTGTTGTCCAGTTTGTGTCCAATGGGTTTCGCTGATTCCGAGTACTGCCAAGTTGTATTTCCTCATTTCCATTGCTATTTGGCTGGTCTTTCCTGTTTCCCACATTGTCCGGACGTTCCATGTACCTATAAAGAGTGTTGCTCTGGTTGTTAGAAGGTGCATCGGTCTCGTGACTTCCGAAGAATTTCGGCTTTCATCATGAGACGTCATTATTCCTTCAACTCCCAGGGCAGAGTTTAAATGGTTTGAATTATTTTTTCTGGTTAGCGTTTTTTTAGCGAGTTAGCTTTTCTACGGGATGGGGTCGCTAACCCCATGCCCAACCCTCCTCCTTTACCCGGGCTTGGGACCGGCAGTAACTCTAGAAGAGCTACAGGCGGAGTTAACAGCCTAATGTGGGAGAGAACAAACCAGCCTCCACTTAAGGTGGTAACTAGGAAAAGACTCAGGAATTCGATAAGACATACAATACGAAGATAATCAAACTGCATCACGAGGAAAGAGCGAACTTGGAATACAGAAGGGAAGTAGAAAAGAGGAAAGTCATTAAACACACTGAGTCAAGAATTATTAGCAGGCATGAATAGGAGTTCCTCCGAATAACATGTTATGTATTATTGTGTGACTTAGTAATTAGGTAATGAAAACTTTTCAGTTTTTGCAAAAAACTTGTTGTATTCACTCATTATACTTAGTTCACCTTCATCTCGTACCAATAATTGTTCGATATACTATTTGAATTGTAAGCTTCAGAATTATTAGACACCAATAAACTGTAAACATAATATTAAATGTAATGTCTCAATATAATCCAGTTTCTGTAGGTTATCAACCTCACATAATCTAAATATTCTCTCTTTTTTTTGTTTAGGTTGAAGAAGTTCATAACGAATTATTCTAATGTGAGATTATCTTTTTTAATAACCTGCTGTATATTTTCAATTAATTTCGTCAATATTAATGCTTATAAATCAGATAATTTATTACAAAACCATTGGTTAAGCAATATTCAAGATGATGATCTTAGACAAGCAATGGAAGAAGAAAATATCACAGAAGAACAATTAAGAGATCCACATCAATTTGATCGTTTATTAAAACGTTTAATATTTTTATCACCTAAACATTTACGAAGATTTATGAAGGTATTAAGAGAATGGAATAATCTTAGTCAGCGTATAAGGTAAGTATTATTAATTGTATTGAACAAATACGCAAGTTTTCTTTCCTTATATAATTGGCTTTGTGCAAATTTTGAATGTCTTTAAGTTTGTTGTACTGTAAATTCCCAAGTCACGTTATTGATAGTATTTGGTAGGAAGATATAAAACCAAATTTCATATGTTCAGACATTACTCTCCAGTTCTGAAAAAAAGTAAGGGATAGTGAACTTTCAGTCTTCACAATTTTCGGAAAGTTTTTATATAACAAGTCTGTGTTGAGATTTCTGAATTCTTATCGAATCATATATCAATGATTTTTTTAAGAAAAACTACCTAAGTATCAAGCCTAAATTATTCATTTAGAGAAAATAAAATCAGAAAAATATCTTACAATGATAAGTAAGACATTAACACCGTTGTATGCTGGCTCTGTGGTTCAGAGGTTAAGTGGTCACGCACGAGACTGAAAGTCCTGGATTTGGATCCCACGTGCAGGATCGTGGATGCGCAGTGATGAGGAGTCCCATACTAGGACAATAAGACAGTCCAGTACTTCCAGATTTTCAATGGTGGTCTAATATTCATCGATTCATGATCTCAATCAAATAATCCATAAACATGCTGCTTTACTTATTTACAAACTCCTTATCTTGATCAGTCCAATTCAGTCCTGAGCATGAAATAAAATGATAGTTATCTGCTTTTACGTATTGGTAAAGCTTATCAACTGAAAAGAAAGACCTAAAAGTCAAACAAATGTTACTTTTTATGCTTTACCACGCAATATATGTAGATATCTTTAATACTATCTATAAAACCTAATAATTGTTACATTCGTTTGCTAAGTTAATCATCAGTTGTTTTATTCAAAAGTTACGTCACTGTTTATCATTAAAATTCTTGAGTGTTTCAACATTTTTAACTACATTTAGTCTAGAAGTTCCTAATGAGATACTTTGCTGTCATTTCATTTTGAAAATAATTAAGATATAGTAATTTAGTGAAGATCACCTTCCATTTAGGGTTACGATCAAACATAGCTTTTTTAAAGAAATTTACTAGTTGACTGTATTTCATAAAAAGTAAGTATAATTTAATATGTTACTTTAAACGGAAGACCAAATTCACAGTACTCAGTCACTTAATAGCTATTTATTGTCATTACTTACTTTCGCCTGTTACTCCCAATGGAGCACAGGCCGCCGACCAGCTTTCTCCAACCCACTCTGTCCTGGGCCTTTTTATCTAGTTCTATCCAGTTCTTGTTCATTCTTCTAATGTCTGTCTCTATTCCTCGGCGTAATGTGTTCTTTGGTCTTCCTTTTCTCCTTTGACCTTCAGGATTCCATGTGAGGGTTTGTCTTGTGACGCAGTTGGGTGATTTCCTCAAAGTGTGTTCAATCCCCTTCCAGCGCTTCTTCCTGATTTCTTCCTCTGCTGGAATCTGGTTTGTTGTCTCCCACAGTAACTTGTTGCTGATAGTGTCTGGCCATCGGATCCGAAGTATCTTGCGTAGACAGCTGTTAATAAACACTTGTATCTTCTGGATAATGGCTTTCGTAGTTCTCCACGTCTCTGCCCCATACAGAAGAACTGTCTTGACATTTGTATTGAAAATTCTAACCTTGGTGTTGGTTGACAATTGTTTTGAGCTCCAGATGTTTTTCAGTTGTAAGTATGCTGCTCTTGCTTTGCCGATCCTCACCCTCACATCTGCATCTGATCCACCGTGTTCATCAATGATGCTGCCCAGATATGTAAAGGTTTCCACATCTTCCAAAGCTTCTCCGTCAAGTGTAATTTGATTGGTGCATATTGTATTGTATCGGAAAGTCTTGCTTTTCCCTTTGTTTATATTGAGACCTACTGCTGCTGAGGCTGCTGCTACACTGGTCGTTTTCTCCTGCATTTGTTGTTGCGTTTGTGATAGAAGAGCCAGATCATCCGCAAAGTCTAAATCGTCAAGCTGCATCCTGCCTGTCCACTGTATCCCGTGCATTCCTCCAGATGTTGACGTCTTCATGATCCAGTCGATGACCAGGAGAAAGAGAAAGGGTGAGAGTATGCAACCTTGCCTAACACCGGTCTTTACTTGAAACGAGTCGGTGAGTTGCCCTCCGTATACGATTTGGCAGTTTAGTCCTCATAGGAGTTCCGTACTATATTGACTATCATCTCAGGCACGCCGTAGTGTCTAAGAATCCTCCATAGTGTTGTCCTGTCCACGCTATCAAATGCCTTCTCGTAGTCGATGAAGTTGATGTACAGTGATGAATTCCATTCGATTGATTGTTCCACAATGATCCGCAGAGTTGCGATTTGATCTGTGCACGATCTATCCTTACGAAGTTGGGCGTCCACAGAATCCTTCATCCTGTTTAACAATACTCTGTTGAGGACTTTTCCTGGTATTGAGAGGAGAGTGATACCCCTGTAGTTGTCGCACTTGCTCAGATCGCCTTTCTTTGGTATCTTGATCAGAAGTCCTTTTTTACAGTCTATTAATTCTTGTTCTTCATCCCAAATCTTACTGAAGAGGATGTGTAGTATCTTGGCAGTTACTGCTACATTTGCTTTCAGTGCCTCTGCCGGGATGTTGTCTGGTCCCGCTGCTTTGCCGCTCTTGATTTGTTTAATTGCCATGCTGATCTCCTCAATTGTTGGTGGGCCAATATCGATTGGGAGGTCTGTGGGTGCTGCTTCGATGTTGGGTGGGTTAAGTGGAGCTGGTCGATTCAAGAGTTATTTGAAGTGTTCTACCCACCTGTTTCGTTGTTCTTCATTATCGGTGATTACTTTGCCTTCCTTGCTTTTGCACTGGTCTTTCTGGCTTACGGTAATTTCCAGCAAGTTTCTTTGTTGTATCATACAGTTGTCTCATGTTTCCCTCTCTTGCAGCATTTTCCGCTGTCATCGCTAAATGTTCCACATATTTACGTTTGTCGGTTCTGATGCTCCTCTTCACTTGCTTGTTTGCTTCTGTGTATTCTGCTTGTGCCTTGGCTTTTTCTGCTCTTGTTCGACTGGTATTGATTGCTGCCTTCTTCTTCCTCCTTTCTTCAATTTTATCCAGTGTGCCAACAGTGATCCATTCCTTGTGATGGCGCTTCTTTTGGCCCAGAACCTCCTGACATGTTGAAACGATTGCCTCCTTGATACCTTTCCAGTTGCTCTCCATGGTAGTCCCCTCTCCATTGAGTAGATCGTGAAAGGCCTGGAACCTGTTGCTGAGGTCTATGTTGAATTTGTTGAGTTTGTCTGCATCTTGAAGAAAGGCCGTATTAAACTTTTGTGATGTTGTCCGCACCGTTGTCCAGTGCTTCTTGAGTTTTAGTTTCATCTTGGCGACCAGCAAATGATGATCGGATGCTATATCAGCTCCTCTTCTGGTTCTCACATCCTCCATCTTCCTCCTGAACTTTTTGTTGATGCAGATGTGGCCGATATGATTCTGTGTAGTGTGATCCGGTGAAATCCAAGTGGTTTTGTGTATGTTTTTGTGTGGGAATATGGTGCCACCTATGACCAGTTTATTGAAGGCACATAGGTTTGCAAATCTCTCACCATTTTCGTTCCTTTCTCCCAGTCCATGTTGTCCCATGACGTCTTCATATCCAGTGTTGTCCTTTCCAACCTTGGCATTGAAATCCCCCATCAGAATTGTCAGGTCCTTGGTTGGGCACTTCTCGAAGATCGACTGCAGCCTATTGTAGAATTGGTCTTTAGTGTCTTCATCGTAGTCGTTGGTAGGCGCATAGCATTGAATGACGTTCATTGTAATGCCCTCTCTCTTTGTTTTGAACGAGGCTTTGGTGATACTTGGTCCATGAGATTCCCATCCAATAAGTGCATTTTGTGCTTTTCTGGACAGCATCAATGCTACTCCTTGTGTATGTGGGGCATTTTCTTCTTCATGACCGGTGTATAAAAGAAGTTCTCTTGAAGACAATCGTTGTTGTCCAACCTGCGTCCAATGTGTTTCGCTGATTCCAAGCACCTCCAGGTTGTATTTTCTCATTTCTGCAGCAATTTGGAAGACTCTTCCGGTCTCCCACATTGTCCGGACATTCCATGTACCTATAAAAATTGTTGCTCTGGTTGTAAGAAGGTGCATCGGCCTGATGACTTCCGAAGGAACTTGGATTTCATCATGAGACGTCATAATTATTCCTTCAACTCGGAGGGCAGAGTTTGAATGGTTTAATGATTTTTTCTGGTTAGCGTTTTCTTAGCGAGTTGATTTTCTACGGGATTGGGTCGCTAACCCCATGCCCAACCCTCCTCCTTTACCCGGGCTTGGGACCGGAAGTAACTCTAGAAGAGCTACAGGCGGAGTTATTTATTGTCATAGGGATAACTTACTAGTTGTGAGGTCCGAATTTTCCAGGTAATACTAAGCATTGGTGGTGGTCGTTCATTTCTAACTTATGCTTACTCGAACTAAAGTACCATCCACTTATTTTTTCTGTAGTTCTTTGTTTAATATAGATTGATGATACTTTTTTCAAGATGACATGACTCTAAAACAATTGAACGTTTGGAACATTTCTTAAAGAAGGATAATCAGCAATGGTCGAAAAGAGATTAAACATAAATGTCAGCTAAGAATAAATGGAATGAGTAAAAAAATACATTTCCATGCACTTTTTTCTTATTACTGTTAAAATAAAGTAGGGTGGTTTTAACGGTGTGTATCTCAACCGAACATATTACCATTTATTATTAAACATGTCCATTAACGCTATCAATAATCATCAGGTTAAGTTCAAAACCATAAATAAAAAAGTATGATTTTCATAGTTGAAAGCATGAGTCAATTAAAGTTAGACCACCAAAGTAAACCTGGAAGCAATGGACGGCCGTTTCGTCCTGTTGTGGGACTCCTCAGCAGTGCGCATTCACGGTCTCGCCTCTCGAGATTCAAACCCAGGACCTAACAGTCTCGAGCCAGTGCATTTAACCGATAGACTGCTGAGCCGGCATCCGATAGTGTTAATGTCTAACTTCAACCAATCCACGAAGTTGAGCAACCGCTCACCAACTGTCTTCAGTGAGTTCCTATCTCACAATAGACGTCGTTGAACTCCACTGGCTTTATTGTTTTATTATAACTCTAATATTCATCATTTATAGGTCGTTATGTATCAATATTCTCAACTTTCAACAACTGACAAATTGGGTAACTTTCGTTAATAAGTGGACAAAAACTTAAAAGGCAAAACTTTGATGTAATTTACTCAAAGTAATTTCCATTTAAGATTATTTTCTATCATATATATTTAGGAATTTATTTTTAATATTTTGCCAGAATAAAAGTATATTGTCAATTCGCTTTATTAGTAATATTTTACAAATCTCGATAGTGTAATAAGAAGACTAAGATTATCAGAACTATGTGATAGATTAGCGCGATACATTTCGAGCAATCTAATCACACATATAATTAGCAGAGATGGATAGTGGCTAGCAGTGAAATCCAGGATGCGCGTTTCGTCCTATTTGGGACTCGTCAGCTGGATGTACCTGCATCCCAGAGTTGATATTCACTCTGGGACTCGAACCCAGTACCTTCGCTTCAAACGCCATCGCGTTATCCACTCGGCCACTGAGTCCTGATAGCCACTTGCTTGTGCGATGGGGTGAAGTTTATATCCAATTAGAGACTGACCAGTTGCAGTCCTAACAAATCGATGGGAAGATTCAAACAAACAATACTAAGTTGAGTATACACGTATATATACACGTATTGTTAAGACCATTTATATGTAAAAATAAAAGGTTAACTAGACTGGAAATAGGGGGTAAGAGTAGACAACGGTAATAATAATAATAATAATAATAATAATAATAATAATAATAATAATAATGTGAAAACAATTTGAAACCTAATCACTCTGGTTAATAAGGTAGTATTACCAGGGTGAGCTTAAGGTGAGAACAAACTGTTTTTGAATACACAAAGGGGTGTTGAATTTTCGTACGGCTAAGGCTTCAATAAACCTTAGTATACGCCCTGTTACACTTTTATACAACACCAAAAAAGCCGAGTTAAGATCAATCTTATCGCCTGTTTCGATTATATGTTTGGCAATAGAGGATGATAGATGTTTATCCTCTACTCTTATCGGATCATTTGATTTCACTTTTTCTTCAACCATTTTGGTACATGTTCACACACCCTAATTTTCAGATCACAATTGCTCCTCCCTATGTATGTGTGACCACACATATTTAAATTGGTAAACACAGTGAGATGCGACACAATCGTTTTCATGTCTTTTAGATCTTGGATGAATCATGGACCTCGTTCTTTCTTTGATAATAACCTTCGCTGCACAATACGTTTTGTTGATGACTGATTTAAGCCTTTTACAGTATTTGAACGCCGAGTTGATGTAAGACATTAAATAGGAATAATATATTTATTATCAGAAGGGGTTTTGTGGAGATTTAGTATTTTTCATAGTAGAAAGCATGAGTCAGTTGAAGCTAGACCACCATGGAAAACCTGGAAACACTGGACGGCCGTTCCGTCCTATTATGGGACCCCTCAGCAGTGCGCATCCACGAACCCGCTCTCCCGAGCGAGTCTCGAACCCAGGACCTACCAGTCTCAAGCCGAAGCCCTTAATCGATAGACCATTGAGCTGGCATCCAATTCATCCGACTCATGCTTTCTACTATGAAAAATACTAAATCTCCACAAAACCCCTTCTGATAATTGATATAATCATATGCTCATTAGTGACTTCGAGAAGTATATCTAGGAGCTCTAGTGAGAAGCAGTGACCAGTGGAGTTCAAATCCACGTCTGTTGTGGGATTACAACTCACTGAAGGTAATTGGTGAGCGGTTGCTCAACTTCGTGGATTGGTTGAAGTTAGACATTAACACTATCGGATGCCGGCTCAGCAGTCTATCGGTTAAATGCACTGGCTCGAGACTGTTAGGTCCTGGGTTTGAATCTCGAGAGGCGAGACCGTGAATGCGCACTGCTGAGGAGTCCCACAACAGGACGAAACGGCCGTCCATTGCTTCCAGGTTTACTTTGGTGGTCTAACTTTAATTGACTCATGCTTTCAACTATGAAAAATTTAAGTGGATAACCATTCCCCATTAATATCTTGTTTAACTACTTAACATCATCATCAACAGCGTCGTTTGTGCAATTACGATCAAGCCTGTTAAATAGGCACCTTATCAAACCCCGTTTGTACTGCACAGGGCAATAACTATATTAACTAAGTCATTGGCCCGTCCACATTGGTTTTCGAAAAATGGATCTTTCGACTGAGCCATCTTCTCGTCTACCTTACGTATTTATATATAAATGTTCTTAACAAGTATATTTGAGATCAGATTGTTCGAAATGTATTGAGCTAATATATCACGTTGTTCTGATAATCTTGGTCTCTTTGTTATACTATCGAAATTTATCAAAGGGACTAATTGCTTTAATTGTACAAATCGTTTTCAAAAATAATCTGTTTGTTAGATCATTTAGTCAAATATCTGATAGTATTTGATTAAATATGAAAAAGGAATTAGCCCTTAACATTTCAGTTCTGTACATTTCTATTATCTATCTAATAAAATTGATCTATTAAATTTTCGTAGTAGTTATAAATAATGTCATTAATTATAATGTCGAAAAGTATAGAAGAAACTCTGCCCAAAGCTCTTCCAGAGGCTACTGCCAGTCCCAAGCCCGGATAAAGGAGGAGGGTTGAGGATGGGGTTAGCGACATCATCCCGTGGAACACTAACTGGCTAAAAATCGCTAACCAGAAAAGTATAGAAGAGTAACATGATATTCAATAGGATCAAATTACTTTGAAATATATACAATCAAAAAAAAGGTAAGATATGAATTTCTATTTAACAGAGAAAGGAGTTGTTTAGTTGTTAATTCTTTAATTCAACTATTGACTCGCATGTTCAAATCTTACAACATTTTCTTCTCAGTTAGACAGTTATTAATAAAGCCAGACGCTAAACATAAAAAAATGTTTCTCACAAATTCACTTACATAAATCTTATTTACTTAAATGCTTTAATATATCAATTTATTTAAATCATTATTTACCCTTAGCATATTTCTAATAATTACATTATGTTACATTATTATGTTGCCTTTCCAGGTATGGATGATTACAACAATAAACAGATCAACCAGTACTTTTCTCATTTTATGAAGTTACTTTTGAAAAAAGAAAATACTTTCGATAATCAGATAGAAAACAAAATGTGTATAACTTAACAATCTTAATTATTAAAAATATCATAGAAATTGTTTTAATGATTAATCATTATTTTCCTTTAACGCATTCATTATTCAAATGTTTTTATAGGGGTTGAATAATGATGAGATTTTTGATAGAATTGGCTATGGTTTGATTAAAAAATTCTTAGTTATCACTTTTAATTGCCAATTTCAAAGTAAACTTACAATGCTTTAAAAATGAGTCTACTTTAGCTAAGAGGACTGTGAAGATTAATTTAATTCGTAGGTGAATGGCGTTACAGGTTGACATTCTTTGAGTAAATTGTTAAAAGCCAGGGGGCAGAGTTGTGACGGCCGGTGTCCGAAAACTGATACTGCTATCCAATGTGCTACACGTTAATCCTCCCCGCAATCGATTACTTGTGCGAGAACATAAGGGAGGGGAAGAAGGTATATTAGGCTACAGAATAAAACAAACAAATATTCATGTATATGTATATATATCTACCCATTAACTCCGCCTGTAGCTCTTCTAGAGTTACTGCCGGTCCCAAGCCCAGGTAAAGAAGGAGCATGCGGTCGGAAATCCCATCCCGTAGAAAAAATCTTGCCAAAAGAACGCCGGCCACATTAAACAAATTAAAGTCTCCAAACTCTACCCTCAGAGTTCAAGGAAGAATTATGACGCCTCATGATGGAAGCTGAGATTCTTAGGAAGTCATGCGACCGATGCCTCTTCTAACAACCGAAGCAATAATTTTTATAGGTATATGGAACGTCCGGACAATGCGGGAGACTAAGAAGACCAGTCGAGTAGCAACTGAAATGAGAAGATACAAACTGTCGGTACTTGGAATCAGCGAAACTCCTTAAACAACAGAGGTTAGACACGGGAGAGATGCTACTGTACTCCGGTCACGAAGAGGAAAATACTCCACACATTAACGGAGTTTATCTGATGTTGTTCAAAGAAGTACATAATGCACTTGTAGGATGGGAATCTCATGGATCCAGGGTCATCAAATCGCCATCCAGAACAAAGAAGGAGGGGATGAATTTTATGAATTTTGTCCAGTGTTATGCACTCACCAATGATAGATACGACGACAATAATAAAGATCAGTTCTACTTGAGGTTTCAAACAATCATGGTGAAGTGCTCAAGAAAGGACCTGGTCATTCTGATAGGAGATTTAAACGCTAAAGTCGGATTACACAACACAGAATATGAAGATATAATTTTACGACATGGACTAGGAGAGAGAAATGAAAATGGGGAGAGATCTACAAATCTAGGTGCATTCAACAAATTGGTTATAGGCAGCACAATATTTCCACACAAACACATACACAAAGCTATAGGGATCTCGCCGGGCCACACCACAGAGAACCAGAACGATCATATTTGTATCAACAAAAAATTCCGAAGGACGATGGAAGATGTGAGAACCAGGAGAGGAGCTGACATACCTTCAGATCACCACTAACTGGTGGTTTAGGCCAAGATGAAACTGAAGCTAAAGAAACACTGAACAACTGGGAAAATAGCATTACAAAGTTCAATACAGCCTTCCTTCGAGATACTCACAAACTCAACCAATTCAAGATGACTCTCAAGAAAGGGTTCCAAGCTTTATAGGATCTACTGAAAGAAGAAGAAACTACGATGGAGGACGAATGGAAAAAGATTAAAGAAGTAATACTTTTATCTTGTCAGGAGGTTCTCGGTCCTAAGAAGCATCATTATAAGGAATGGATCCCTAGGGGAACCCTATACAAGATTGAAGAATGGAAGAATAAGAAGCCAGCAATAAACAACAGTCGAACAGGAATAGAGAAAGTCAAGGTACAAGCAGAGTACGCGGAAGCACACGAGCGAGGGAAGAAAAGCATTACAGCTGACAAGCAGAAATACATAGGCGAACTAGCGACGACGGCAGAAAAAGCTGCAAGAGAAGGGAATATGAAACAACTTTATGATACAACGAGGAAACTAGCAGGGGGATATAGTAAACCAGAGAGATCAGTCAAGGACAAAGAGGGAAAGACAAACACGGAGGTTCAAGAGCAAAGGAAAAGATGGACAGATTAATTCGAGGAACTGCTGAATAGACTGGCTCAGTTGAATCCACCGAACAAACGTTGAAGTAACTGCAAACATGGTTCACACTCTATTCAAGATTTAGGAGAAAGAACAGGTGCCGACAGACTAGAAAGAAGGATACCCCATCAGGACACGAAAGAAAGGAGATCTGAGCAAATGTGAGAAATCAGACACAGAGGTATAACACTGTTGTCAGTACCAGGGAACGTTTTCAACTGTGTTGTTGAATGGGATGAAAGACGCAGTAGACGCCCAACTTTGAGATAAACAGGCTGTATTTCGTGAAGATCGGTCGTGCACAAACCAAGTTATGACACTCAGGATCATCGCGTAACAACCAGCTGAGTTGGACTTGTCACTATACATCAACCTCCTTGACTATGAGGAGGCATTTGACTGTAAGGACAGGAGGACCTTATGGAATCTTTGGCACTATGGAGTGAGAAGGTTTTCAACAACATAGGGAATTTATACGACGGACTACACTGCAAATCGGTTTATGGATGACAACTCACAGATGTATTTCCAGTGAGGACTGGAGTAAGACAAGGATGCCGCGCTCACCACCTTCCTCTTTCTTCTGGTGGTTGACTCGATTACGGATAGCTCGACATCTGAGGGCAAGCACGGAATACAATGGACAGTTGAGAATCAGTTAGACGATTTGGACTTCACAAGTGACCTAACTCTGATGCAGGAAAATCAAGGGCTGCATTCTTACAATCGAAGAACATATGGAACTCAAAACAATTGTCAATGATTATCAAAGTCAGGATCTTCAATACCTATGTCTAGACAATCCTACTATACAGAGCTGAAACGTGAAGAACTACTACTTCCATCATCAAGAAAGTATAAATATTTATAAACTGTTGTTTATGCAAAATACTCAACATTCGCTGGCCGAATGCTATCAGCAACAGCGTTTTATGGGAGAGGACAAACCAGCTTCCAGTTGAAGAGGAAATTAGGAAAAAGCTTTGGAAGTGGATAGGACATAAATTAAGGAAATTACCAAACTGTATCACGAGGCAAGCTCGAACCTGGAATGTGAAGGGAAGCGGAAAAGAGAAAGTCCAAAGAACACATTACGCCGGGAAATAGAAGCAGATATGAAAAAATGAATAACAACTGGAAAGAACTGGAAAGGATTAGCTAGGACTGGGTTGGATGGAGAATGCTGGTGGGTGGCCTATGTTCCTCCACGTGAGGTAACAGGTAGCTAAGTTACGGATTTCTGAGACAATGAAATGCATTTGTCCATCAGGTCAGTTCTGATTGTCAATTATTGACCTCGTTATTCGTCTTTTGATTGACTTACCATATCATCTTTTCGTCCTGAAAATAAATCTTGCTTCTCGAGTTTAATGAAAGGCGTTGGGCCAAACATCGTTTTCTTGATTATCTTTTTAGGTTCTGGCGACCACTTCTACGCTGATCCTGATACCTTATACTAACTGTATCAACACGATGATTTAGTCGCGAGTTCGAGTTCGGTGGTTCTTTATCTAAATTTGATCTTGGTTTAAGTGTCTCTTCAGGCGTTTGCATCGAATATCAATTTCATTCTAGGTTATTCTACATGTTCTCAGAAAATTTTGAATGACTGCCTCCACCGTGTGCACCTTTGTGACTTGATCGCATCAGAAATAACACGTTTTACTTCTGCTTTGATTGATACTGCACACGGACGCAAGCTTCACCAGTCGGTCGGTTTGAAGTGATCATTCTCGATAATGCACCAGCCATTCTGAAAATGATCATCAAAATTATGACGAAGAAGAAATATTTCCCTCTACTGCAAGCGAATGGAACGTCTTTCTTTGAACCAAAGATTGATAGGTGTTTATGGTCAGTTAATAGAGTGAAATGTCGTCGATAGATCATCTTATGAAAATTTTTGACTCCAAAGATAGTTGTCAATGCTTCTTTGTGGAATATGATAATGATCTGAATGCATGTGCAGTAGACACTTGGGAATCATCAGGGATAACATGTGAAATAACGGTTTTTAGTACACAGTTCAATGCATCAGAAGCAATGATTATTTCAAAGTTGGGATTAAAATGTGTTAGCAGCGTATTTCATGATAACATTTTCGTTTTTTCAGTCAGTAGTTCATTTGAAGGCGCGGGATGTTGATGTATAGATGGGAGGAATTGAGCATAATGACTTATCAAATCCAAGAATGATCGTTAAGAGTTTAGGTTAGATGATGGTGGTATTTGCTTTATGGCTTCAATATTCCTTGGATCAAGGCATCGTTCGTAGCGATCTACAATAAATTCAAGTTGCTTTATTGCCGTCACACTTCTTGGAAACAATAATCCCTAATACGCACGAAAAATATATCCCGACTTTCAAATAACTCTTGTGTGGTTGTGCTAAAAACGATCATATCGTCCATTTAAATCAAGGCACGTCTGTTAGCATTGCATCCATAATTTTCTGAAATACTACCTTAGCCGACTTGACTCTAAATGATAGACGAGTATGGTGATGGTGACTTCTAATCAACACTCTGAATTCTCCATCAACATATATTTGCAGATATGCATCAACGAGGCCAATCTTCGCAGCACATCAGACCTCGTTCGTTTGTGCAAAATGATCATTTGGCGTGGGAAGTGGATAGTGATGTGTTCCTAACGAATCGTATGGTCCCGTTGAAAAATTAGCACATATTCAGACTGAAGCACTAGAGTATTTTACTACCACAATCTGTGCTGTCCATGACGGACACTTAATTGGTTAGCGAACACTCAACGCTTCCAATATATCTAGTTCTATGTCTACTATAGGCTGTGCAGCATAAGGCACTAGG